GTGTGTGTGTGTGTGTGTGTGTGTGTGTGTGTGTGTGTGTGTGTGTGTGTGTGTGTGTGTGTGTGTGTGTGACAGTGAAGTCACAGCACCGACACACTTTACTGACCACTGTAGTTGTAGTTGCTTTATTTCTCACGTCTCACCTTGGACGTAACGTTGTATTCACAGCAGGTTGTACGCTGGTTTAACAGTGTAATGAACTGTACACACCCAGTTCACACCAACATGTGCTGCAGATAACATATAATGAAATCTAATACATGACTGTTGTGCTCTTGTGATGAGGGTAGTGTTCAGGTCTGTATGTTTCCGGGAAGAAATCAACCACTGATTATCATTGAGTGATCTGCCCCTAGTTTATTTCTATCAATCGCTTAATTGTCTGGTGTAAAACAAGAATCCACCGCGAAGTGATTCTTACAGTTACGTCTGGGCTATTTGGCCAAAGGCTATGCCAAGATGAACATTTTCATATATGTCTTTATTGATAAGTATCAGGACAAATGTGATATCATTATTTCTTTTAAATCTAAAGACGAAGTAAAGTTTTATGGTTTTAAACACATCTGATGTAGATCAAATACGCGTAATACCTCCTCACTGTGCTTGGACAAACTATAAGTATTATATTGAAGGACATTGAACTTTTGTTTTTTGCTATTCATCAAAATTGTGGTGGTTTATTAATATCTTGTTATTGCCCAGCCCCACTTTCAGACATCTTTGTCTGAAACCCAAAGATATTTAGTTTACTACTACAAATGACAAAGATAAGCCACAGGTCCTAAAATGATGAATGTGAATGAAGTATGATGTATCATATATATCTATATCTATATATGTATATATATATATATATGTATATAGAAATATATGTATATATATGTGTGTGTGTGTTAGGGCACATTATAGATGTATAATTTATAGATTGTTTATGTGTTCATATAGCTGTATGCATGTATATTTATTATGTCCTTCTATATTTTGACAATTTCAATACACATGTCCTGTGAATTTTTTAAAGCTATGTTTTGCTGTATATAACATATATTACATGAAAAGAGCAGTTTTCATTATCTTTCTTTGAATACCAGTTAATTGTTTTGTCTATAAACTGTGTTGTCAGTAGTTATTATAGTTGCACTTTCCAACATCCCCAAGCTGATTCCTTCAGATCTTTTTTCTGACCAACAGTCTAAAACTTAAAGATATTAATTTCACTATAACATACAACAAGAAAAAGCATCAAATGGTCACATCTCAGAAGCTGGAAACAGAAAATGTTTCATAGAATATTTAATTCCTAAAAAAGCTGCTGATTCATCAGACATTGGTCAGTTAATCAACTGTTAACATGAAATATCGTACAGTAATACAACACAGGTGCAACATGAGGATTGAAGTGTCAATCTTAAGACCATTCAGTTTCATATCAGTGAAAGTTTTTGTAGAATCAACTTACATTTCAAACGTTGTCTATACATAGCTATATCTGACAGAAACAAGAATAAATATGAAATATGATGTTGGCATGTGTCACTTTTGAAACATTTGCATGGATTATTGTATGAACTTTAAAAAACAACTTGCATTTATATAACATAACCTATAACCTTTGGCCAGCTAAAGGTTAAACACTTTTTAAACACAATTATGATTACACATACTTACCAATGCAAAACAAATATAGTTCTTTGTTTGAGTACATTGGTTTAACTCTAGGAGTGACTGGGCTTGTGGTGGAATTCCCCCTAGAGAGATCATCAGTGTATCACAGGACCAACATACAGAGAGAAACATTTACACTGACAGTCACACACAAAGTCAACTTTAAGTCTCCAGTCGACCTGAGCTGCATGTCTTTGGGAGGAATCCGGAGAAGACCCACGCAAACATGAAGAGAACATGCAAACAGAACCAAAAACCTCTTGCTGAACAGTGTTAACTGCTCCACCACTGTACCGCCCTCATTGTGTTTTCAGGTGATGACTTTGAGTCGTCTTTGCTGAGTTTTGAGAAGTTGGACAGAGCGTCACCAGACCTGTGGCCAGAACAGTGTAAGTTTACACTCTTGTGTCTTTTTATTATGGAGTTATGTTAAAATGTTGTGTTTAATTATCTTGTAATCTCTCACACAGTGCCTGGTGTGGCTGAATTTGCTGCATCTTGTAAAAACGTGAGTTATAGTCACCATGACTCGCTTTGATTTACAAACCAGATCATTCAGTAGGCCAGACACATACTCTATAATATTCTATAAGCCTGCTGTGTAAATCTTTGGTGAGTTGTCTGCTGAGACTTTTGTTGTGTCTTATGTTTCAGCCCATCACTAACTCACCTCCCAAGTGGATGGCTGAACTAGAGAGTGAGGACATTGAGATGTTGAAAGGTGTGTACCTGTACTTTATTTCCAGATGTGTGGTTATTTTCAGTTCACCTGCAACAGTTGGTGATAAAAACAGGATGATTGTAGTGAAACAGCGTTCACATATAATCCTGTCAAGCAGGATAACATTTTGCTGAAACTAGTTAAATAAAGATTTTATTAACGGTCCTGTTCTGCTTCTGCAGAGCTGGGGAGTCTGACCACAGCCAACCTGATGGAGAAGGTCAAAGGACTTCAGAACCTGGCTTACCAGCTGGGCTTAGAGGAGTGTAAGTACATGAACAACACACACACACACACACACACTCACAGCACAGACAATGTTCATAAAAGCGTTTGGCTTGATCCAAATATAAGGTGTCTTTAAACGTCACATGTCACCACTAGATGGTGCTCACATCCTTTTGCATCGAGCGGGTGGATTTTCACTTTCACATTCAAAACCCAAACAGGTTCCCTGCACACAAGCTTATGTGTTTTTTACGCAGTGGTCAAATGTAGAAAATAAAACTTTGCGATTTAGAGTCAGCTCTTCACGCCTGACAAACAGTGTAAATAAAATGACCTTGAGGTCTTAAAATAATGGATTTGGGTCAATCTTGTTAAATAGGAAAAGGTAAGAAATGGGGTCATGCCCCACAAGAGCCCACACAACAAGTGCTCGAGCATTTGATGGAGGCAAAATCTACATTTTAATCCAGTCCCCACTACCTCTATTGTCATAATCCTTGTGGAGTGTGGATTAGAGAGATGTAGATAAGTGCTCATATTTTCCTAAGAGAAAGATGGGTATTTATTTGTCCAGTGAAAAAGCACACAAGCAGTGAAGAATTGTGGTGTAGCCGCCCCCTCACTGTGAGCGGATGAATAAATAAATTTACATGTAGGTTAAATCAGTTAAATCCATGTGTATAAGGGAAAAGTGACCTAATGTAGAGAAAGAGCAGTAGAAATAATGCAGTGTGGCCAGCAACCCTTTTGGCTTATAACAAGCTAACTGCTCATTCTTCATAAAGACAGATGGTATTTATGAATTTATTGATGTCAAATAAAGTGATGCATAAGTATAAACTTTTTAATTATCTTAAGAAATCCTCCAGACTTTAAAAGGAGTTGCACAAATATCTAAACAGACAAACTACATGAGTCAGGGAAGCTTAAATACATATTAACAAACTACAGGAAGCATCTATAGATTGTGTGGCATGTGTTGTATTTGCATAGACGACGAGTCACAAGGTGATTTTGTTGGGAAAGTGTCTAATCTGCATGACTCTAAATCCAGAGAGGCGGTAATCTGGCTGGAATGAAGATGTTAGCTGTCATAGGTGTAGGACAGCAGGCTTTGCAATCATGTCGTGTACCTCGGGATGATGGGACACAATGATGGTTATTATTGGTGTCGGAGCAGCCCTGTAATGGGTGCCTGTTTAATGCTCTCTGGTTTAATTTTCTCCTTTTCCTGGCTGTCATGGGAGGCCTTGTAAATCTCAGCTACTTTTTCATCATGTTTGTGCACTCTTCACTCCCCATAAACGAGACACCGCGGAGTCAGGGCAGAGGAAGGGCAGGGGACAGGATTTACTGCCCCTCCCCCTTCAACATGTGGACCATTAAAGTGGGAGCTTGTTAATGGGCACAGCACAATCAAGCTGTGAAAACTCACCCACCCGACTGCTGTGAGGACCTGAACCAGACATTACAAAGAACATCATTCCCCTGTGGATGGAATCCACCTAAGCAGCTCTGATGCTGGTTCCTGCTCTTTCCTGCAGATCATGTACTGTGCACATGTTGCTGCATGCTCCTGTTTGCACACATGTATTAACATAGATGTGAAGAGAGGATGTGACGCCCCCTTATGCCCACTTCCCCTCCCTAACAGCACCCCCAGTAATTTACTGTGTGACGCTGGCCGGGCCCGGTCTGGTCCCACAGGGGCCTGACGCGTGTCTCTTCCTCTGGGCCCCAGCTGTTACTCCGCCCCATGATGAATGCCCCTGTCGTGGGCCGCTGATCGCCGGCATCAAGCCTGGGGTCTCTGGGGAGAGCTGAAGACTCTGATAAGTGCTGTTATTGGAGGTAATTGAAAGCTGAGTGTTCCTCTGGGATTCAGTGGAGGGCAGAGACGACTGGTAACATGGCTGCTGGAGCTGGTGGTGGTGCTCTATCACACATGTAGGCTCAAGGTGACGTTGACATTTAACACTTGTCTCACCAGGATGCTCATTTAAGGAAATACTCTTGTTAATTTTATAGTGTCTGTAGTGCCGTCGTTTCTGTATCTCCAGCTAGCTTCAGTCACCAATCGTAGAAAATCCCAACAATTGTACTCACAAGTTTTGTTCAGTTGTAGGAAAAAGTTAAAGTGACCTGTGTTGGCCAAACTAACAGTGGGCTTTGAAGAAAGCCAAGAATGTTTCCTTTAAAATTATATGAAAACATTTTATAGTATGACATTGATAAAGGTCCTCAAGAGGATATGCACCAGTGTTTAAAATACCATTCCTTTATTGTCGTTGGTGGGAGCATTAAACAGTGAGAAAGCTGCCACTCTGCATGGCTATCTTGTAAATATTTTGGCTGGTGAAATTCACTGGTTCATAAAAAATGTTCAGACACGAACTGACCCTATTTGGCCAGACATAACGCAGAGTTTGTCCTTCACATATGAAGAACGCAGCAGGAGATTCTCTCGGTCAGACGTGTTCACAACAACAGAAAAATCTCCAAAGCATTCAGTTGACAAGTGGCATCTAGGTAGAGCAGCAGGAGGCAGGACATGATGTATAAAGTCTGCAGAAAGCACATATTATTGTTTGCATCTCATTGACACCAGTGCTTGCCCATACAACCAAAAGCTCATGAATCTCATCTTTCCAAGTTGACATTTTCTTCAGCGTCCTCTAGGGCACCCCTTTTTATCCTGAAATGTTTGTATTCTTTTTGGGGTTATTTTTCAGTTTGGCATCTGTCCCATGTTAGAAATGTCATCAACATTCCCACTCACTCATGGTGGATTCCCTGGATATTTTACCAGAAGGCTGGCAGGAAAAACTCAGAGAAAGTCCAGAGCAACTTATTCAGACATTGGCACACTCACGTATACACCCACGAATAACTTCAGGAGAAGAATCTGAGTGCATGTCTGATCTGAAGGCAGCTTTAGCTAGATCTTTCCATCTTTAGTGGTACAAAGATATTGTCACGCACGAATTTTCTCTGTACACATTATAACGGAAAAACAGATATTGGTAAAAACATTGTCACTCAGTGTATTCTGGGTGTACGACCACCTGTTGTCACCACCGTAGCACCACAGAGCACCTGTCCTCTGTCCCTGATGCCACCCAGCTTAGACCCAGGCTGACCCCCTGTTGAATCCCCCCCTGTGAAGGTGAGGCTGAAGGTTGCCCTGCACTGACAGCTCCTAATGGGCCCTCATTCAACACCACCACCTCCTCCTCACCCTCAGGATCAATCTCCGGCCTATTAGAAGCATGCCGCTGCTGAATATGATTGCATTCACTGGGCCCCACTGGCGCTAATGTGCCTCCATCAATCCATCAGGACGGGCTGACCGCGGAGCGGGCGGTTATGAAGTGCCTGAGCTGACAGCCGCTGAATGAGGAACAGGGGATGCCTCCCCACCACTGCCGTTACTACCCTTCCTCCTCCTCCTCCTCCTCACCCTCTACTACTCCTCTGTGTCTCTGTGGGCTCGTAGCTGCGATGAATGTCAGGGTTGTGTGTTTCCTTGTAAGGAAACTGAGACAAGGATAGAGGATGGTCCAGTTCAGAGGCTCAGTGTTTATCATCTCAATATTCAGTAACCTGGTGTGGTTAGATCATTCAAATTGTTCTTTTCTGAATTATTGGGTGTGTTGTTTGGTAATACTGCTGCTACTTATAGTCATTGCCTGTTGAAAGAAATGTGAGCCATACCAAACATGTTTTGCAGCAGGGTGAAGTATCTCTTTCCTCGCTATAGCAGGTTGCAGCTGTGTGTGACAGAGCCTGTCCACATCTTAACCAGGATCAGTGTTGGAGAAGTGTGAAAGAAGAGGGAGGCAGCGCTTAATATACACACACACACACACACACACACACACACATTCATACACACACACACTTGAACACTGCTCCTTAGTTCTGCCTGCTTGCCGCCTCCCTGAGCAGATCGGAAATGACACCTCATTTCCATAAAGGCATTAGGAATTCATTGGATTTTCTTTCCCAGCTAATCATAGTGCGGGTGT